AGCAAGGAATCTAACATGGGGCTCCATCCCAGGACCCTGAGATCATGACCTGACCAAAGGCAGACGTTTAACCAACTGAGCCATCCAGGCACCCCTGTTTTCAGATTACAAACAGAAATAAGAAATGTTGACCTTGTGTAAGAATTATGTAAAAGATCCCACATTTCTCAAAACAAACAAACAAAAAAGAACATAAACTTTCTCACTTTCATATATGTTATCTTTTTTTTTTGCTTTCATATATATTATTTTAATTATCACAAGATCTGAAGCCTTATTTTATCTCTATGTGTATGATGCTTTTGATATTCAAAAGGTTAAGTAGTTTATGCAAGATAACAATTGTGAAGTTGGTCTGATAAGGTTAAATCCTTACCTTCAGACTCTGTAATTGACTCCTACAGTCTTCTTCCATGCACAGTTTGGTCTCCATTGTCATAGTTGCTTAATACCTTGACATTTCAACATATCTTAAGATATTATGGTGTTACAACCTTCTTATTCTCCAACTCTAATTTTATCTTTTACATAAGATTTTAGAGCAGGTAGTTTAAGAACCCAAGAGTCCCCAAAATTGTGTAATGGACAGCATGCTGTAACTTTTAGCTTATAATTTAAATCCATTCGAGAATGTAGAGATAATTTAAGAGAGATTCCTTTATTTAGTCAACACATTGATTGTGCATCCAGTCTGTGGTAGACAGTTTTGTAGGACCTGCAGATACATTGGTGATCAGAAGAGATAAAACAACTCATTCTCTTGGAATGTATTTTCTAGTTGGGGATACAGACAATCAAAAAGCAATATTAACAAAATATATAGAGTAGACAAGTACTGATGAGAAAAATAATGCAGGGAAAATAATAGGGAAAAAAAAAAAGAATAGGGAAAAGGTGTATGAAATTTTAAATCTGGTGACTCAGAAGGACCCTCTGTGAAAAGGTGACATTTGATTGAGGGACTGAAGGAAGGTAGCAGGTAAGCCATGCAGCTATCTTTTGGAAGAGTATTCTAGGCCAAAGGAACATCAAAGACAAATCCTTTGAGACTGGAACATCTTTGGCATATTCAAAGAATGGAGCAGGCCAACTAGGTGGGAAGAACTGAATGAAGGGGAGAATAGGAAATGTTGTCACAGATATGCAGAAGCTATAATGCCTTGTAGACCCTTGAAAGATTTTGGTTTTTACTTTCTTTTTCTTTTTTTATTAACATATAATGTATTATTTGTTTCAGGGATACAGATCTGTGATTCATCAGTCTTATGTAATACCCAGTGCTAGTTAAAACACATACCCTCCTCAATGTCCATCATCCAGCAACCCTATCCACCCTCCCCCATCCTCAATCAACCTCAATCAACCCTCAGTTTGTTTCCCAATATTAACAGTCTCTTAGGGTTTGTCTCCCTCTTCGGTTTCCTCTTGTTTCTTTTTTCCTCTCTTCCCCTATGATCCTAAGTCAATCAGAGAAAGACAATTACCATATTATCTCACTGATGTGTAGAATTTAAAAAACAAGGCAGAGGATCATAGGGGAAGAGTGTTTTTTTACTTTCATTGAAGTGGAAAACATTGGACGTCTTTCATCAATGAGTCATATAATCTGAATTATATTTAAAAAGAATTTCTCTAGCTTGTTGAATATAGAGGGACAGGGGACGAGGATCAAAATGGGAAGATCAGTTAGGAGGGTATTTTAAAAAGGGCCGGCTCCAACCAATTTGGTGTAGTTGAGGTAATGAGCAACTGCCAGATTTAGAAGACAGGGCCTCCAAGATTTCCTGATGGATTTTGGTGAGACAGAAGAATCAATATGACTCCTAAGTTTGGGGCAAGAACACTTCAAAGAATGAAGTTGTTGTTTACCGAAATGGGAAAACAGAGGGAAGAGAAGTTTTTTTTGGATGGTGGAGAGAGAAATAGGATATGATAAGGGGCTCAGTTTTGGATATGTAATATTTGAGAACTTTTTAAACATCCAGTGGAGATTAAATGGATGCAGAGCTCTATTGACGTAGAGGATTCAGCTCTAAGGCTAAGTTCTAGGCAGAGGGGATTAGTACCATCACTCAAAAGCAAGTATTTCTTAAGCATTTTTGTGTGTCAAGCCCAGTACTAGGTGCTGGGATATAACAGTAATAATATATCAAATTAATAAGGCACATAATGGTATATAGTACATATTATAGGTGATTGAGTAATATAGTACTTAGAAATGTAGAACTTTGGAAATAAAAATATTTATCACATTGTTACAATAGTACCTAAGAGTTTGATTCAACTGACCATCCTCTTGAAGGCATTTGTTTGTTGGTTTGGTTTGGTTTGTTTTTTTTCATGGCTTGGCCTCCTGGAAGTTCTGTTATGGCACACTGTTATAAAGAGGGCTATTCTCAAAGCTCTTATTGAGATTTAATATCCATTGTTCTTTTTCTTTCATCTTATTTCTGAAATTCAAGTGGTGAGTTGTATTTGAAGGGTGCCGCTATCTCAGTATAGTATACACAAGGTGGTTGGTGTTGATGTTTTCTGAGCTAGACAATGATACCTGAAAAGTGAATTAATCACTAGACTTTTTTATTCTGTCTTTGAGTGTAATGTACTTTTTGTATTGATGTTTTGACATCTGGCATTCTTCTCTTAATGACTCTGCATGGGGTTTTTGAAGGACTTAGGAAGGCACTGAGTAAAAGTAAATACATTCCTAATAATGTAACTACCCAGACAAAGGCAGGAGTTTTTTGGTTTCTTCCTTCTTTTCTTTTCTCATTCTCTCTCTCTCTCTCTCTCTTTTTTTTTTTTTTGTTAGTGTTTTAGGTCTTTAGGATACATTTGAGAATGTATTATACCTGCCATTTTTCCCATTACGGAAGACTGCTGTGCTGAACATTGGTGCTTGTTACTCAATCACAGCATCTTTCCTTTGAGTCAAAGAAGAGAGCAAATAACCCTCTGTTCAGGGAGCTAGGTAGCACTAACCACTCTCCACTCTCAAACAGTAAAAGTAATTTAAGCTATCTGAGACCCAACACTACTTAGTAGTGTCCCCTGGAGAACAAAGCAGTTACAGCAAAATTTCATGTAGTTTTCTTTCATGATTTGAGCTCCTTCCGGGAAATATATCTAGAGTTATGCAGGAATATTTCAGAACTGTTTCACTGACAGTGTTCTAGCAGAGTTCTTTATCAAATAACTGTGAAGTCTTATCTGGTGACCCGAGAAGAGCTGTGATTTAGGTTATAGCATAGTGACTGGCTTGGGAGAATTTCCATATTCAAAATAATCTTTGTATGAGGTTTGTAAATAACAGAAAAGTATGAAGTTTGAATAAAAACAAACAACACCAGAAAATCTGGTTATTTAGTATTTTTGAAGTGAGCTAGCAGTGTGGAAGACAATTAAATGTAGTGACTTCCATCTTAAAATAAAAATTGGTGTGTATGATCTACACAGTTGAAAAAGATGTCAATTAGAAATGTATTGCTTTGTTTTCAACAAAAAATTCCCCATGCTGATACCACACTTTAACTACTTCAGTATATATCCATAAATATCAATGTCATTTTTTTGTTTTTTAAAAATTTTGTATAAGTGGCATTATACCGTATAGATTCTTTTGTCACTTAAATTTTTATTTTATTTTTATTTTTTTATTTTTTTTAAATTTTATTTTTTTAATTTATTTGACAGAGAGAGGGAGATCACAAGTAGGCAGAGAGGCAGGCAGAGAGGCAGGCAGAGAGCCCAATGCGGGCCTTAGGTTTTGAGAAGTATCCATGTTTGTGACTATAAATTTAGAAAACTGATTTTCTATTACTCTTCAAAATATCATTTCTATAAATCAACTATTATTTATTTGTTCCCCTACTTATGGAAATTAGGTCTTCAGGGCTTTTTAAGCAACTACAAAGAAAAGAAGCGCTGATGGTCATAGACAATTTCTCCACTCTGCTCCAATATCTTGGCATACTGATATGTTGGGCCACCCTAAATTCTAATGCTTCACAGAAGTGGGTTTGGGTGGAGGCAAACTACCACGGAGAGGGAATAGAGTTTGGAATCTTAGAAGAAGGACAGAAATGAGATAGTACACAGAACAAGGAAAATGAAAGGAATGGATCCCACAGGACTATTTTAATAGAGCCCCCCCCCCCCCAAAAAATGTAGTTTTAGTACAGAAGCTTTTTATGAACTTCTTTTTCTTAGCCCTGTTTTATGCTGCTACTGGAGATAGTAATACTGAATGCTTATTTTCCATCTATATATAACAGGCTCTTTTCATGCAAAACCCTTTAAGGATCAAACTTCTTGATCTCCTTAAGCCATTCAATATGAATATAAATCCAGTGAATATCCTCATTCTTTTAGATCTTCCACTAAATAAATGATATGTGCATGTGGCTGTTCACCAGAATTAACTGAGAATCTTTACAAAAATGCATACTTTTATGAACTCAAACTTGGAAATCTTGATAAAGAGCTTAAATGACAGAAGAATTGGTGGGTTTTTTTTTTTTTTTTTTTTTTTTTTTTTAAAAAAGTCCCTTGGTGATTTAGAAAGCATTTCAGTTGAAACACCACTTCCCTAAGTGTATAACTTAGTTTTTTAAATAGTATTCCGTAGTGGGGGTGTTAAAAACAAACAAATAAACAAACAAAAACTATAGAAGTGATACGAGTTGAAAAAATACAGCTTTTCCCTGAAATCATAGGCCAGAATTATGTTGACTTGCTTCAACTATTTGTATCCTCAAAATACATATAACCAAGAGGAGTGCAAACACCATTGTCATCTCTGAGTATCACACTGACTGACACCTCACAGAGAATATTAAATGCTTTACCTGTGGACTAGAAAACCCAAATAATGAAGTTATCTTATTCACTGCATGTGCCTAGTACATTATGAAACCGTGCATCATGAATCCAGGTCCTCGTACGACTTAATGATCTTTTATGCATAATTGCAACTTACGGCTTTTCTGTTGTCTTTCCAGCACAGTGATGCGGTCCATGACCTTCTTCTGGATGTGATCACGTGGGTTGGAATTTTGCTGTCCCTTGTTTGTCTCCTGATTTGCATCTTCACATTTTGCTTTTTCCGCGGGCTCCAGAGTGACCGCAATACCATCCACAAGAACCTCTGCATCAGCCTTTTTGTAGCTGAACTTCTCTTCCTGATCGGGATCAACCGAACTGACCAACCCGTAAGCAACCTACACTGATATTAGGAAAGAATGTCTCCATTTTTCCAGCTTTCCAGTACTCAAAATATTCTTGTTTGAATGGAACCTCTCTTCCAGTTGTCTGCGATAGTTATAAATTTTCAGATCTGGTTCAGTTCCCCACTCCCCCTCCCCCCGCTTTTTTTTACTCCATTGTTGTAAAGAAGCAACAAATGTTAGGACATATGGCTGTACATATCTTGAGAAATTCTGTTTATAACCTTGCCTTTCTCAAGAATTATGTCTCCTCACTAGCTTGTGTGTGTGTGTTTTTGTTTTGTTTTGCTTCTTTATTTTTTAAGATTTTACTTATTTATTTGAGAGAGAGAGAGAGAGAGAGCACACGGCATAGGGAACGGGAGAAGCAGGCTCCCCACTAAGCTGAGAACCTAATTCAGGGCTCTATCGCAGAAGCCTGTGATCATGACTGAGCCAAAGGCAGATACTTAACCAACTGAGCCACCCAGGTGTCCCATGTTTTGCTTTGTTCTTATCAGAGTAGAATATGGGGGAAATTTCAGTAAAATCATTTGGGGAATAGAAGAGTATCTTTCCTAATAGATATAATTGTTACTTTTCAAACTTTATCATAAACTTTTTTTAAAGTTTATATATTTTTTAGTAATCTCTATACCCAAAGTGGGGCTCAAACCCACGGCCCCAAGATCAAGAGTTGCAGGCTTTTCTGACTTAGCAAGGTAGGCAGCCCTATCATATACTTTAAAACAAAACAAAACAAAACAAAAAAGGTTTATATCATATTTAAAACTTCATGCCTAAAATGAGTTTTTCTAATGGACATATTTGGAAAATAGTTCAGACTATAAGACATTTCAGAATTTATGAACTCTTCCCAAATTTTGTTTGACACATTGTATTTGCACAAGTTCTATTGACATCTTTAATGTCAGCTTTGTAATTTATTACAAACTATATTTAGTCATGTGAGAAAATAAGGAAGAGGAGGAAAGGAAGGAAGTAGGGAAAGAAAGGGGGGAAAAGGAGTAGCACTAGCCAACTTTTGGTAAAACCAAACAGAAAATACAAATAACAGTATCTAATTACTCAACAGACTATGCCTACTTACACTTTTTGTGAGGCCCATTCTATTTACTTACGATTCACAGTACATGTTTGGTCTCATGATCAAAACTGTAATTGAAAAGAAAACTTACGTTTTTTAGAAGATGTGTAGGCATAATAAATAATTCATTCAGTTAATGCTGTTCTCTGTTATGTGTCCATAAGTATGGAGTACTTTACAATAAAAATGCAGTTAGATTCATGTTGGTGATTACACATTCATGATTAATGGCTATAAAGGGTACAATTATGGTGATTATACTTTTAATTGGTTATCATGTACAAATGTGACAGCTTTTCCCATAAATGCATACATATGAATAAGCAATCAAAGAGTACATTTCTTTTCCCAAAAAAGTAAAGTCTTCTGATAACAAAAATTAATAGTTGAGGTTCTAACTCTAAAAAGCAAGGAATGGAAACGGTGTTATTTTCCAAGAAGAAATCATTTCATTCTCTTGTTAACCTGAAATTCAAATGTTGTGTGATTTCTTTTCATTTAGAAACCTTATTCTTTTGTTTCCTGATATACATATGGTATGATAAACTTCACCACATGTTGTATACTGTACAGAACTAACTTACGACAAGTAGCATAGAAAGCAAAGATTGATATGAAAAGTTGGAGTAGAGCGGGTCTTAGCTCAGTTTGTCTTCTTGTTCCTGAATAGGTGTCCTCTTCCTGACTCTTAGGTGGTGATTAGGTTGTGCTTTCTCTCTAGCCTGCTGATATGGGATGTCCTCATCTCCCTTCAATGTCATCTCTCTGACTCAATGAAACTGACCTGCCCTTTGTCTCTTTCTCAAAGATCGTATACTCATCATTGAATCCATTATAATCTGATAATGTCTATAAATTTTTTGCCCTTTTCTAGTAGGAGATATATATTTTAGTTAGGATTTCTTTCTTTCTTAAGATGTATTTATTTATTTGAGAGAGAGAAAGAGAAAGAGGGGGGCAGGTTGAGGAAGAGGGAGAGGGAAAGAAAATCCCAAGTAGACTCCATGGTTAGCGTGGAGCCCCACCAGATTGATCCCATGACCCCCAAGACCACGACCTGAGCCGAAACCAAGAGCTAGAGGCCTAACTGACTGCTCCACCCATGCACCCTTAGGATTTCTTAAATAAAATATAAAGACCTCCACTTCCCCAAGGAGTGAAAATTTCAGAACTGACATAAGAAAATCAGTACATGTTCAGATGAAACTTGTAGTGCCTTAGAGAATATGCCAAAATAAGGACTAGCTGTCTTTTTTGACCAAGCTTGTCTAGCCCAACATTTCTTACAATAGAGGAAAATGAGAGAAAGCAAGCACTCTGGAACATTTTATTTTATTTTATTTTAGCCAGACCTGCTTTTACACTTTGCAGCATCAACTTCCCAATGTCACTTTAAATCCTTCCTGAAACCACGCAGAGAAGAAATAAACCAGCAAATAATAATAGCAAAGTAATGATCCCATCACAAAATACTGTAATTATTATAATTTTTAACTTTAAGAGATTTTATTCTCCTTGGTTTTAATGTTTCTTTTTCATTTACAGTTGGAGAACTTAGTGATAGAACACACATGATCATGGCCAAGAAAAATAATGCATGAGATGTTGTTTTTAAAACTTTAGACTAATCTCAGTAATAATTATCAATAATAGGCTCTTATTAGATGTTTTTCCTAAATTATTTAATACTGTTTCCTTAATATCATCCTGTGCTGTCATCCGTAAGCCATTATTACAAAAAATGTTAAATGTGGTTATGAAGGATCAGTTATATTTAGGTTTTTTTTTTTTTAAAGATTTTATTTATTTATTTGAGAGAGATCACAAGTAGAGACGCAGGCGAGTATATTTAGGTTTTAACAGCGGAATTTTCAGAATCTTGTCTAGATTATTCTTTTGCAGACCTCTTGTGTTACCGCAGTGTTGCTAAATGTTTATTTTGATGTTATGGTAGATTCCTTTCCGTCCTTACTCGAGTGCTTTGTTCCCTTCCCTAGATTGCCTGTGCCGTTTTCGCTGCCCTCTTACATTTCTTCTTCCTGGCCGCCTTCACCTGGATGTTCCTGGAGGGAGTGCAGCTCTACATCATGCTGGTGGAGGTTTTCGAGAGTGAGCACTCGCGGAGGAAATATTTCTACCTGGTCGGCTACGGGATGCCGGCGCTCATCGTGGCTGTGTCAGCAGCGGTGGACTATAGGAGTTACGGAACAGATAAAGTGTGAGTTTATCATTTCTTTCCTTTTTCCCCCCCTCTCTTTGGAAATCTAGTTGAAATACATGCTTTGGATTTTCTTGAAAGCTAACGTCTCTATATCACCTCACAGCAATAAATGATAGAACTGGAGAAGCAAATGGGGGTAATTCAATTCAAGGTTGTACTTTTGTTATGATACAGAAAGAGAAAAAAAAAATCCTGAGATTCAGTAGGATGCTGTTTAAAACAGCTTAATTTTCCCACAGCTACATCAGAGCCTTGAGTAATTATACAAAGATGAACGCTTTAATGTCTTTCAGAGCACTGGGACATTTGTCAAATGAAGAACTACCTATGTCAGAAGATGTGTATTCAGAGGACAGCATAGTCCCTGATATTAATGGCTTCTCTTCTTCCTGACCTGTCAGTTCTAGTCACTGGATAGAAATTTAGGTCATTAACAGAAAGAGAAACAAAAGGAACAGGGGCAGCTTGTTATCCGCCCCCCTTTTTTTTCCCTAGGTGGGTATTGGGTTGTAGTGATGAATGTTATTTTCAGTAGACACTCAAATTGGTGAGACATACATGTCCTGGAAAGGAATTCAGTGAAAAATATGTTTGTAATCGACATCAGTGTAACAGTTGGCATCCTGAGAATGAATGAAAGTTTCAAAAGAAAAAGATCAGAAAGAAGACCAAGAGAGAGCTCCAATGAATACCCTCATTTAGGACATAGTTTGAAGTGGGAAAATAAAAATAAAGACAAAAGCCTTAAACGAGAATGAGAGCCTTTAAAAGAACCTTAAAAGAGAGTGAAAAGCCTTAAAAGAGAATGAGAAGATCATTTCAGGATGGTGTTTCAGAACACCACCTGGGGTGTTCTATAGCAAAGATAATTCAAGAGAATAAGCACTGAGGAAAAATTATTTGTCCTTTGCAACAATTATTTTGACAATGCTGGAAGCAGAAGCCAGACTGCAAGGTTTGAAGAGATATGTCAATAGCAAGAAAGTAGAGTCTTAGAGTATTACCTGTAGCCTGAAAATGTTTGAGAAATAGTGAAAAGATTAACTTGTGGTTACAGAAATGAAGAAGAATTTTTCAAAATGAAGTCCAAAGAATGTCTAGGGGTGGGAAGAATGCATTTCATAGGAGGAGATTAATAGAGGGAACATGTGTATGCCTTATTTGTATTTAATATATAGAGAGGCTGAATGAAAGGGAAGGTCCTAGAGGGATAGAAAAGCACAAGATTATACATAAGATTAAGAAAACCTTGATTTAATACAGGAGTTGGCTTTGCAATACACCTCGTCCAAGACATTAATTTTACAAATGAAAATAATCAAGGACCAGGTAAATTAATTGCCTTGCCCATGGTTATAGAGCTAAATAGTGGCAGATGTGTGATAAAAAAGATCAGATTCATTTCCACTAGATAGGAATGTTTTTGGAAAAGTACAATGACCCCTTTCTTCTAAGATGAGTGTGAAGAACAGATAAGATGAATTTCAACGTGGAACGACTTTCCCATCAAGTCGAAGAAGCGGACTTGCTGAGTGAACAGGTGAGGTCACGTTGAGAGGACAGGACATTTGAAAAGTCTTGAAATGAGTCTATGGAAAATGGGCTAAGGAGCCAATTAGACATTAATAAAAAGATTTCCAAGCAGCACTGAAGTCTCAGATGAGGTTAGATAACATCAATTTGTACAGAAGTTAATAAGCCAAATTTCATGACTTTCCACCAGCCATCAGCAGCCTGAATATGCTGGCAGTCAAGCAGCTCACTTCCCCTGAGAGAGGATTCATGAGGAAGGAAGACAAGCAGAAGCATTATTGGGAGCATAAAGTAGAATACGTGTCGGTTCAAAGGCACCGACAATACAGTTGAAAGAAGACCATCTCACTTCTGTTGAATTTTTCTCTCTTGAGTGCAAGAAAGGCTGTAAAAGGCTATTTGTCTAAACGTAACTAATAGTAATTGTTTTTTAATCCAACCTTTATGAAATGTGGTCAAATCGGAGTTCATTTTGTGGATCCCAGTGACAACTATGGAACAAATTAGGATTAGATAAAAGCATTAAAAGAGCTTGCCTCCAAAGATCTCTTAGGTGAAGGGAAATTAGGTAGATCAGATTTTTTTTTTTAAATAACACCTGTATTAATACAATTCACGTACCATAAAATTCACTCTTTTAAAGTATATGCTGCTGTAGTTTTTAGTACACAGTGTTCTGCACACATCACCACCATCTCATTTTAAAACATTTTTATCCCTTAAACAGAAACCCACTAGCCATCATTCTCCTTAGGTCATAGGATTTTACGTTTTAATTAGTATATCCCCTCTAAGATATTAAAATTGAGTGGTACAGTTATTTGTGACCTACTAGTATTCAAATACTGTTCTTAAGTAATTTCATTTTGCTCTCTTGAAGCCCCTGAATTGCATCTACTTTTATGTGTTTCATTTCTTTTTAGATATTTGCAAATTTTCCTGTCACTAAACTGACTCAAATTTGTTTGCTTTGTGTTTTAATCCTTTATTTTGAAACAGATGTCATTTCCTTGGTAGTACGAATCTATCTTGCCTTAGAATCAATAATATGTAAGTCTCTTGTGACTGTTCAAGCTTTGGCCATCCTTGCTTTAATTTCCTGCACCATAACTGGAAACTCTCATTTACTGACATTATTACTGTGTGGGAATAGAGGCTAATTTACTTCCCAAGCACTGATTTAAAATAAGCCTTCATAATAGTTCAGTTCCACAATTATGATTTTTCCCAACACAAAGAACAGCAAAGCCGATATAAAGAAAAGGGAGGATAGATGAAAGAGGGAGAGAAAAGAATATGGAAAATTGCTTTAAAATTCCATCTCAGGCAGGCACAAAGTGTTTAGTGTCTCATTTGTACATTTTAAATAAATCGTCTGCAGAGAAACCTTCCAGAATACATGGAAAAAATGTTTAACTTCTACCAGTTGGGAATGCATCCAATCCAGGGTCTATTTTGCCCATTGAAGAAGCAGGTGTGGAAAAAGAAACATTACTCAGGCATTTGCATTTACTTGAGAAGCTGAAATGAACAGATCATGTTTTCTATCAGGAGTTTAATCAAGATAGCTTCTCAAAGAAAAATATAAACAGTGAATTTTTCCACAACTCGAAGGATCTCTGCATATAGAATTATATATCTTGTTCCTTATTATCAAATCTTTGTTGGTCCAGTTTCTATTAGTATTGTCGACTGCTTTTATTTGACCTTCAGATGACATTCCTGACTCCCTGTTCATCTCATGACTTTTTCTCATGTAAATCTATCTCAAATTGTTTTTTGTTTGCCAGTGTTACCTTCTTCTTCTTTTTTTTTAAACAGATATGTAAGTCTTTTTTTTTTTTTTAAGATTTTATTTATTTATTTGACAGAGATCGCAAGTAGGCAGAGAGGAAAGCAGAGAGAGAGGAGGAAGCAGGCTCCCTGCCGAGCGGGGAGCCCCATGTGGGGCTCGATCCCAGGACCCTGGGATCATGACCTGAGCCAAAGGCAGAGGCACCCCTACATTCATCTTTTTAAATACAAATATATAAAGTCCACAATCTTAAATAAACTGGAACTAACCAGAATGCAGACACATATTTTCAGCTCTTTTCTGTAAATTATTAATCTCAACACAATGAATTTTTATGTCTTAGAAATCTATTTCACTTATATTTGGAACTTTATCATTATTCAATTTTTACTTCAGTTTCAACCACTTAAGAGTACATCTAGAATAAAGCCATTGAATATATATTATAGTACTCCAAATAATAATAAACATTCTTCCCTTTTCTCTCCTCTTAATGTATTTAATTTTATTTTATTTTACCGACAATGAGGTCTTATTGCTGAAACCTTTAACAATAGTGATAATAGTAGCTTACAATTCTAAAAAGTAGAGAATCATATCAGTGGTAGTATGAGATAAAATTAGTTTTATAGGTTAAATAACTTATTTTGATACAGATAGTGGTAACTATCATATTCCATCTGGCTGATGGATTATGATGTGTTTTTCTATGAAGTTTTAGGGTTGTTGAACTGATTATTATGTAGAAAACACATACACACAAAGCACACATAATTTGATTTTGAGAAGTTGCTTAGTTTGCCATCAATTTGCAATGCTTGTAAGAGAATTTATTATTATTTTCTGATGTTGTTTAATCAAATCTTTTTATCTGTACTGACATTATCTCGAGAATGTATTTAGAATTACATTTAGTCACAATAATTGGACATTTAAAAAATTAGATTAGAAGACCAGTTCAATCATTTAATAAAAGAAAAAGAAAAAGAAAAAGCTTTCAGCTAGTGGACCACAGTTCTAAATTGCACTGTTAACAATGGGCATTTATTCAATTTTACCTCTGTTTTTGTATATACCCTTAGTCTCTCTTATACTCTTATTCACATGCACATTCAGTGAAGCCATTCAGTAAATGATACTGTCAGAAGATAAAAGCTGGCATTGGCTTAACAAAATTTAAACATGGCTGATTTACAAATTCTATGCTAGGTACTTTTATTTTATGACCTGAAACTAATTAGTTCATGTAAACTTTAATTACCTTACTATTCCAAAAAAAAATGCAAACCATTTTAACAGTTAATTTTTATTTAAAGAGAAAATCACATTTATAGTTTATACCACTTCCCTTACAATCCAAGTATACAATGGAAAAAAGAGTGGTTAATGTGATGGGTAAATTAAAAAGATTAGGAGCCAGTTCCAGGAGAAGGGAGGGCTCTGGAAAGGAATGAAGCCCAGGGATAGCCCAAGACTTAAAATACAGGCTTGAAACTTTGTAAGAGGTTTCCAAAAGATGTCAATTAGGTCATAAACATTTATAATGAATCAGAACATCCTTGAGTACTAGAAGCATAACCGAGGTCTTAAAAATAATTGAAATAAAATTTTATGATCTGAAAATAATTATAAATCATCTATTAAATCTTATATTTATCTCCCTAGCTCA